TGTTTGTCCTTGCATGGTTCGATTGTAACAAAAAGATGAAAACCATTTGCAAGAACTGTCGCCTACCTCAAGGTAAGAACGTATTCACTATGTCGCAACGAACAAAACGCTTTGGAGACGTTGAAGAAGACGCCAAGGGCGGCGTCACCGCGCTGCACTTTACGGTGAATGAATACCTCTATATCATTGAAAGCTACCTTAGTGAACTAAAATTGACGAGTGTTTGCAAGGAGCCCAGACCCATTTATGTGAGCGGGAATTTCGATTTTTAACACATCGTTTGAAAATTTTCGCTACGAAGCTTATCAAAGACGATTTTGGCTTCAGGAGCTCGCTGCACATTCCTGAAGGAGGCTATTAGGTAACCGTTTCGGCTTATCATCAACTTCTTTTTGATTTTTGACTCTAAAAAATCTATAAAAATTCGCATCTATATATTATATAGTTCTATGAAAAGTGCTTGCCAGCGAATCTATCACGATTCCCCCGCATATATTCTAGCGTTAGGACTCAATAGTTACCTTGTCGTGCGGAAGTGACAACTAGGTGATAACTTTGGAAAAATATTATTTCTAAATGGCAAACAGGGTCTGTAGAGTTCTCTAATACTCTACTTTACCAAGCATAATATTCCATTGTTCACTTACTATTGCATGAGTAAATCTCTTATAATTGTGTACACAAACCATTTCCCTTTTGCAGAACTCCTATAGGGCGACCCCGGCCAAAACAAGACTGAGTAATCGTGGGATATTATAGTCGTTTCAATCACCCGCATGCAATGTCAGAAGTTTCACAGTGCGATAACCATTTGTGACCTAGGAACTCACTGGATTTAGGGCGAGTGACAGACTCAGTAGCAAAGATAGAAGCTTAGAAACGAAAAGGGGGTACCAGCAGCATACGAGTTAAACAGCAGATTATTATTGAGAGAAACATTGTGTGTTAACTAAAACTGACTTGATGGCTGGGGCATTATTAGATACTCGTTAACCTAAATTGCTGTACATAACCATGATATAAACCTTAACTTCTGCCAATTCTAACCCGATGTTTGTTTTGGTCATGAGTAGAAAATGCCTTCTCTTGACATTGTTGTAAATTAACACAGTTAGTCCACACACACAAACAGTATTGTTTTACATTCATTAACATGGATGGAACCCATTAGTGCGTAGCCTGACGTCGGAAATGCATATAATATTTAACCGCACAGCAGACTGTGAAGTCCATCTATCTCACACGAATTTTACATGTATTTATAGCTAAGAATGACGATTCGACATCTTATATGGGTAGATTTTTCGTTACATATGTGGAGAAATTTCATATAGGCGAACGCTCAGTGCTGCTGACACTATCAATGGACATGTTTTGCCGTTGACTTTTTTCGGTGTTCAAGGGTTTTCCCGGGGTAGCGTACCTATTCTACGCTCTTCTTCTCACAGGAACAATCCGCTGTACGTCTACGTCTTGATTGCTTATGTTGTTTCGTCCGTCATGGCTGCCCTCCCGTTGTCAATAATGCCGCGGTTGGTCTCATCGTCATCGTTTTATTTTACTGGTTATATCTGTATGCCCTTCATCCGATCCGTGGCGTTTGTTGATGCTGCAGAATTTGCTCAACGTCGCAGCTCAGATATATCGTCATTATTATCATCATTGACGCCTTGTGACTGTTATACACTGCTGTTGTCTGACGGTTTCTGGAAGATGTTTCAGTTAGCTGAGTGCTGTGTTTGGAGCCTCCATGACGCTCGGCGTTGCCGTTGCGTAAAAAGGTCGAATATGAAATGTGCAGCAATGGATATTTTGATTTTTCCATCTGTAATCTACCTTAGGTTTCAAGCACGGACACGGACGTGGCCAAGAGCCTAGCAACAATTGCAAAAGGACACTTCATAGTGGTCCATCTGAACCCATCGCTTATCCTAATGACGACAGAAGCGCTCTTGCAACTGGTAGAGTGTTTTTTATTGTCGATTTGTTGAATCAATTTTAATTGTTGAGGAAAATTAACGGCTACAGTGAGGGCGTCGTTGTTCTAATTGAAATTTCTTCTTTCTGTCTCTTCGCTGCTTCGGAACTAATTTCACCCGTTACTGATACATCAAGTAGTAGTTTATTTTTACGGTTTAAAATCTGTACATTATCCAAGCTATTAAATAAAGCAACATAAAATTCCGACATTTGCAAAATACAGCCTTCGGACAAAACGATTCAATAATTCGACCGAAACAATGATGCGCTCACTCCCATTAGGCGAGAGGCTGCCAAAGGTGGTAATAAAATACAACGACACCATACCGCATAACGGGTGTCCTATCAGCACCGACGGCAAAATGTATCGACTGCTTCCATCTGATTACTGCCACGGTATCTGCTTTCTGTGGTCAGCGTTGTTCGTGGGACTACCTACTCCTTTGGATTATCGTCCATCTACTTTCTTGTATTGTTTCTTTTAACGTACGCCATATGAGCTACCGATCGCTTAAATGGCTAAAATTCTGCGTGAGAAATTTAGAGATCGCCATTATTACTTATAATTTGTCGAAGTATTTTTCTATCCTATTCCAAGGTCTGCATTTCTAAAGATGCAACATGGATCGATTCATAGGAGAACAACCGTCAAATTCCACTTATTATGTCAATTTTCAGATAGAGTGTATGCGATTATATCGGTCAGTGACAGACAAAAAAAAACTGTCCAATGATACGCTACACTCGAACAGCCCAGTAGCACAATGCCAGAGGCCTGCGTGAACGTTGACGAAGCCCAAAGACAGGCTTTTACAAGCTGTTTATATATCTTTTCAATATTATATAAAGTCTATGGACACTAGTAAAGCTGCATGCTATATCGCACAGTTTCAAAGGAGTATCTTTTTCTTTTCTACATACATATAAACCCATTTGTATAGGTTTTCTAGATAGGATCAGTCGTTAGGTTCCTGTGTGTATTTGTTAGCCAAAACTTTTTTTTTTGGTATAACCACGGGCACGCTCCAGTTTGTTTCATGCACTAGTCGCGTGGACGAACTTGACATACAACGACTGACCCTCGCACGCAATAAAATAACTTAATATTCGCCTAACTTTTGTGTTGCCGATCTTTTCTCCCAACTCATATCTTCTACGTTATGCCGGTGTTCCACCCGGACGTATCACTTGAGCCGGGTGGCTTCCATTACGAAACGAAATATATCTATACCCGGATTCGAACCTAGGCCGCCAAATGCCTTTACATGGTACTTGCTTGTGGCGAAATGCCAAACAAAACCAACGTTGACTTCATAAAGCCCCTCGCCTCCACACGTTTTGCTGTATAATTATGATTCTGCCACTGCAGGGGCAAAAGCAACTAGTAGTGACAGCAACGGTAGTGGTAAAATCTTACTGTAGTAATTTACTATATTAACGTGATTCCTTCTGATATGATAACTGACAGCGATTCCGGACATCAAGTAAGCGTAGTAGTAGTAGTTAAACGCTACATATTCGCATCAGCTGAAGTAACTTTACGAACACGTTTTCTGCCGTCGCAGCTGTTGCCTCTGCCACTTTGTCTCTGGCGCCTAGCAGTTCGACTGCTTGTTTGTATGTGTCTGTGTAATACCGCTTCCTGATGTCGCGTCGTAGCAGACGATTTCACCAATCGGTCGCATATTGTGGTGACTGAACTAAGCGTCCGGTGAAACGCAGTACGCAATCAGCTTGCCTAGCTGTTCCCTAGACAGACATCTAGAGCGGTGACACCATTATCGTACCAACTAGCGTTTACACTGTTACAATCGAATTGCCCTACTAGTTCGTAGCGAATTTTACCTAATTTTATATGAAAAAATAACTTTTTTTTTTAGATAATTTCAATCAATCTTTCCGACAGCTTGTCAGCTCCATCGTTCCTGACGTTGATATTTTTTTTTTATTTGGTCAACATAGATTTTTACATATTGTAAATGTACAATATTCATCGTATCAAAGTATTCCGCAAGGGTCGGAAAAGGCCATGATCAGAATGAGCAGAATACGGGACTATAAGCTCGATTAAGCGAAATTCGACAATTAAAAACTTTCGACAATTTTTGGCATGCCATGAAAATGTGTTAAGCCGTGCGTTGTCATAATGAAAGATGGCTCGTCTCCTGTGGGTTACAGGTCGCGTTCTTTTTTTTTTTTTAGATGCATAGCTTTAAATTGAAGCGGTTGTTCAGGAAAAGCACTTTCCTATAACCATACCAAATGGACAGCAAGCATTAGATGGAGTCCGGCTTCAGTTCTTATTTGAAAAGCAATACAACACTTTGCCCACAGTCCGCTTTGAGTGACGTGTATTGTGTGTTATCTAGTTTTTGAATAACCTGAAACCATCTTGTCCTCGAAGATGCTCTGCCGTGTTAATTTTCTGGCGAAGGCTCGTGCGTCAAAATAGCAGCGCCCTTATAATGGGAGAATCGACTTGTTTTCGATGCTGAAGTTACCATTTCGGTAACGAGCGAGCCACCTGCCGCTCGTATAATTTGGTGTAGTATTAGGTCCACATGAACCACATATTCCTCTCGAGTTTACGTCGCATTTGGCCCTTTGCATAGATAAAACTTCAAAGCTGACTTGGAATCCACCTTCGAACGAAACTTAATTTAAACGAAATCAAATCGAACACAGCACAAAAAAGGCCAAGAGACAACGTTGTAAATAAAATGAATAGCGGCTTTTGTTCTCTCACAACTTACTGTTTGTGGCTACAGGGCGTCAACTGATTCAAAATCCTTATGAAGCGACCAAATAATAAATCTGCTGCTGCTTCGATGTCGACAAGTAGCCTTGCGATCGCTACAATCACCGCTATCATTAATAAGAAATTGTTATCGTAACATGGTAGCCAGTGATAAAAATGCAATGTAACAAACATGCAAAGGGTCTATGTAGAGGAAGAAAGAATCCTGGAAGAAAGATGCATCCTGCGTCGAATGAAGCTAAGACGTAGACATCATTATAGTAAAATATCCCATTGCACATGAAGAAATACAAATAACTTCACGAAATCCTACTAATCGTTAGTGGTGATGGTAGCAGTGACAACAGCGACGATTCCGTGAATGCCATGCGGCCCCGATAGCCAGAAGCCAAAAAAGTGGTAATAGACCCTACTTTTTTCTTTGATTTCGTATGAGAGTCCTATTGTTGGTCAACTCGAAACGCCTCTGCTGATAGAGTTAAATATAATGTAAGTACTATTGTTTTTCAGACTACGACACAAATTTTTCGTTTTTTTTTTTTAATAGAAATGGGCTTCAAGGTGCGGCCCGTTTGACCCTTTGATCTTCTAGTTAAGTTGAAATATGCTTTTACAGTGTCCTCTTTGATATCGATATGTTTCTTATTTTCGACAAGTTTTGTTGATTGCAAGTTTGTACATCTATCACTATTTCGTTTCGGTGAAATACGAACGCAGCTAGGGAATACTCTTAATTTCAATATTGTTCTGCTTTAAAAACACCTTGAAAAAACTATACACAATCATCAAGCTCAACAATACCAACACCTGAGAAGGAAAACTGTAAGAAGCTGTATATATAAACTTCATAGATCTATCGATTAGGGTTTTAGATCCTTTTTCTACAGAGGAAAAATTGCGTCGATATTTCAACAACGGTACAACTCGTAATCAATACAACCATCAGATACGCGTTGAGATTGCTGACGAACTATTTTTTCACAAGATATATGCGAAGAATCGACCCAATGTATACATGTATTAGTCTGTTACAATTGTATTTGGCGGACTTTGAAGTTCTTGTCGAACCACACGCCGTTAGTAGGTGAGATTTGGCCTCTAGTCTGTTTGAAAAGTGCGTCATTGTAATCGTTTAGTGGGTGACGCATTTGCCTCTGATATTCTAGGTCTAAGTTAGAAACCGGGCATAGACAAATTTCGTTTTGTACTGGGAGCCAGCCGCCTGATGGAATACCCATTGGCGATACCAAACGTAAAGCTCGAAACATAGAGAGATTACGCATGGTTTAGTCTCTACCACTAACCGAAGAGAGACCAGACGAGAGAATGGCGACGCCTCAGAGAAAAATCGAGTTCAGTAGAAGCGTCGTAAAATGATGGTAATACTTCCAGTGGGTGGTAGAAGCACCTGCCACTATAAGATATTCACCGAAAATGAAACAATGAGTGAGTTAGCTATTTCGGCTTCCTTGAGAGACTAGCAGACCGTTGGTACAGCAAACAGAAGATCTAAATGTTCGATGGCAACGCCAATTCTTATCGTCATGCCTCAATTACTACCTACATTGAGCAAAAGAATATATAACACTGGCTCTACCCCCTCCCCTATTCTCCCGATCCAAGTCTATGTGATTACGGAGCTCTTCATGACCCAAACAGGGCAACAGGTGAGTAAGTGTATCCTACTGTTGATTTACTTGGAGATAGAGAAATTACATATGGGTGCATGATTGCGCAAAGGCTGCCATGGCATCGGAACAGGTGTGTTAAAACTAACGAAAGTACTTTTAAAGCATGTTCAGATCAAACTTTAGGACAGTAGTGGGCGAAGGCTTCTGCTAGAACATGCAATGGAAATCAGGCCAATTGGAGCCTACTCAGAATGTTTACCACATGACCTTGGCAAATTTCGTAGACGTGTACTAGTTTGTGTGCGGTTAATATTTATCGTATCCTATCGGGACTGAAAATGACGCCAGAAGTTGGAAACGTAAAGTAGTTAACAATAGCTGGATTTAAGCAGAGCTAAAATAACGTACGTCTAAAACAGCTGTGTTGTGTTTTGGTTCTAGCTAAACGTGATAGGGATCGCACTGCTCAGGTATTTACTCCTTATTCCTGCTCACTTGGTCATCACGTCAAACCAAATCGTGCGAAGGTATTTACGCAGTCTTAGTAATAACTTCGTATTAGTTTTAGTTTTTGATTTATCCAGAGTTCAAATAATATCTGGATATTTTTTCGTTGGTGAATGTTAACCATGAAGCATTAACGGAATGGCTCCGATATGAGTTCGATTTAAAGGATGGACCCGAGTAGCGTTAAATGGCGGATTAGACAATCGACTGCATCTACGTGCAACGCTGTCGCACATATTATCATCTCGCTAAGCAAGTAACGGATATTAGGGTGTTTCTAAGCCATGTTCAATATTATTGAGGCTGCCTGCTCTGCTTGTGTGAAGCATTGCCACCTTCCGTTGCCAATGGAAGGTGTTCTACGTCATCTGTAAATATATTTGCTTAATTATTTCATCATATGCGAGTGGCGATCTTTCTGAGAGCGCAGTAAAAGTTTCTTATACGATTGTTTCATCGCCATCTCGGGCATAGTACACCTTTCCACGATACGCTGTCAGAAGCGGCAAAGTTATTATAGCCGAAAGAAGCAAAGCGGAGCTGCCTCATACACAGAACTACCATTCACTGTACATGCGGATGATAGTTTTACCCGAATATCTTACAGACGCCAGTAACGTTCGTTTATCGCACATCCGTTAAATGGCCGTTGGCAACGCTGGAGTTTAGTCAATAGAAGCAACCAGCTCTGTCAACATCTCACCCCTGCTCAAGATATAGATCATACTATTTCGACTAAACTGGCTTCATGCCTTTGGGCCGAAGCTACCTATTCCTATGTCCTTTACGATGCTAGCGATGATCGTGATGTCTGTTGTGTGATTTATCAATGATCTACCCGATTTGCACCCGCCGAAATCTGTAACAGCTTCACGCAACGTCTGCTGGCGTTCGTTGATAAGAAGCGGTGCAGAAGCGTCATGTATAAATAATAGTATTTTATCGATACGCAAAGCTAGCTATGCGACGTCACATGCACTGCTGTCCGGGAAGAACGACCGTCGAACAAACGGACGGACACAAAGCGTGCGCAGAAAGACGGTAGAAAGAGCGCCACGTATTTGTACATACATTGCACAAGAGGAAAACTTTATTCTGACATCACAGGCAAGGGGATGCGATACAACTATAAAATAAACTCCTGAAGTGACGCAGAGACAGCTTCACGCATTAAATGTATAAAGAAAAGTGCACCAGGCTTCAGGAAGTTAATAAGGCCCACATGTAACTTCAACACTTCGTGCTGCGTTGTTGCGTCATGACACTCGTGACAATACAGAGAGAGCAGAAGGAGTTACTTTTTCTCTGGTTACAGAACGCAACTTCTTTATGTTTGTAATTAACAACATTCGATGGTACTAAATGTAATGGCTACTTTATTCGCGTTGCTACCAAAAATGCAGGATGTCCAAAAAACAAGAAACGGTGTAGGGGTAGTTATGTATCTATGACAGTCTTGATCATGCAACTTATTGTAAATGACATAAGTAGCGGTACAATGAGCATCCGTAGGTAAATAGGGAACACCGGACTTATCCGCAAGCTTCACCCGGCGTCAGTCGCTGCTGCCTTTATTCATCCGATCTGTTTACGTCAAGCCTAGCAGAAACTGTAGCTCCAGCTAAAATAAAAATTTGTCCCGCTATAGTTACCCTGTTGTATGAATCATGATTTGCTCGGACAGTCATTCTATCTATCCATCCATAAGAATACCCCATTAGTTTCGTGTTTTGTTTCGGTTACTTTCTGACCTCACAACAACTATTGCATAATCTGCTACCTCACCTCTTTAATTAAACTTTAACTAAGCTACAAGTACCGCGCAAACTTGTCAGCTTCAGTGACCTCGTGAAATAATCATAATATATATGTATATGTTTCAATTAGTTCATTATCGAATTGTGACTATTCCCTCACCTCATAGCCACTTATTATGCTACAGCAAACGAAAACTAACTTCGAAAATTAGGCTTTGAGTCTAATTTTCCATTCGATTTAAGATGGTTTGCCGGCACACAAGCACCCATGAAGTGATACATCCATAGGTATATATAGCATCTGTACTTGCGAAAAGTTCGCAGTACCACTGTCAGCTACCTCAGCTCCAAGATAACTCGATCGAGTTTTATTGAAGGGAGCACGTTAACTATGGAAAACGATAATACTCGCCAATAACACTCAAAATCAGCTTCAATAACAAATTCGGATAAATAGCTATAGATTGATAGATAACTAAACAGTTGTTTCAACACACTTTGACACGATTCGGCAAGGTTCACCTAGTTTTCTATGTAAAAAAGGGCTGACCATATTTTGGTAAATTTGCCTAACTACAGCAATAAATTAGTCGAAATTATTTATCATGCACAGTTCTGACTCAATGTTTTTGTGTGATCCCAAGGAACTGTCGAGGTGACCTGTTTCGTCTATATCATTTTCCTTGAATACTCACTTTTTCACAACTACAGATTTCTCGTACGTATAAGTTGCATTTTCGACACTTGTTTTTAATTTTTGAAAAATCGCGCTTGCACACTGAAAAGTGTTCAATCCAGGGGATAAAAAAATAAAATAAAACTAATCAGCGTGTATTCATCAGTCTGTACGGCCTGCGTTGTTATAGTGTACTTCACTGATGTCCCAATCGAGAAGGTGCCGGTTGGATTCCATTTTATGTATTTATTCGCACATTGGTATTTCTGTTGACAGATGTTGAACCAGCCAGTGTCTTGGCGTCAACAAGTGTTCGACTGCATTGACCTGATGCTGGGCATCACGTCAACCCGTCCCAAATAAAGCCGAATCGAGTCCAGATATCTTCTCCCTGCTCCCACTTCCTGCGTCTAGGGATCGTCTGCCAAGCAGAGATTCTAAACGACACGGACTGGTGCCACGTCTGTAACACTGGAGCTCCGCAATGGCCATTCTAGCAAGCAGCCCAGTTTTCAGCGCATAATCACAACCAATGGAAACCCCGCGGCCAACCCAGCTTCCGTCGCCCCAACTGGTTCTAGTAGTATCAACAAAAACTAACACAATAGTACTAGCACGGTACCCTTTGCCATCACCACAATCATTATGACAAAGGGAGACACAAGATGTGCAAGAGAGAGAGAGAGAGAGAGAGAGAGAGAGAGAGAGAGAGAAAATGGCTTTTGAAGTAAAGCAGATGCTACCAGCAACACATGCTAGTGAACGGTCGAGGGTGGCCAACCTAAACTACTTACAGAAATTGTAACAACCGTTTGTTCCTAACAGAGCAAGCAGTATTGCTTCATACTGCCTGCTGCTCAATGGGAAAATGCTTTCACAAAAAGTGGAAGAAAACGGGGGTCAAGGTTCCAGTGCGTGTTTAAGCAACTATTTATATACAGTAAGCTGAGCGGATGGGAGCGTTTAAGAAAACTAAAACAAAAACGTTGCACGATAAGATTCTATATATTACCCATCAAGAGTGTACAGGGAGTATGTAACTGAGTGCGAGTCCGCCCTTTATTGGAAGCATACGAGCTGCCTACGCCGGTGTTCTAATACCTGAGATGTCAATGCTATATATATATATATATATATGATATGCTATGAAGACTGGTTAGTTTCATTTAGTAATACAAAATTATGATACCAAGCATCTAAGCTATCGACCCCGTAAAATATTCGTATGCCGTTACAGCATTCACGGTAGCTTGAAAATAACGTGATTCAATTTACCTAAAACACACAAAAAAATTAAAGAAAAAAAATATGAACTACTTCTGCTTTTTTTTTTTTGAGAGTTCTCTGTTTTGTCATCGCCGAGGTTTAACGTAATTTTCAACAGACAACTGTTAAATTCAAAGCTTTCCTTTTATACCTATATAATTAGCTTATGTTTTTACATTGGCTTTTTTGAGCGTATCAAATTCGCAGAGACGTTCATATGTGTGGCCTTTAGGCATGGGTCCAAGCACTACTTGCTCTTCACAATCGACTTCACGTGAAATCGTCGTACGTATGAATAACGTCCAGGCTATCTGACCTTGCTCTCCATCAGGTGTATTTTAAGAACACTTTGAACTCAAAGCTCAATCAGCAGTGTCCCTCCTACGAGCGAGCCTATCGACCCTAAAGCCCTCGTACATTTAACGATGCAATCTCGAATAAGGGACATTTTGCTGCGACTAGGTACAGTCCTAAAGTAAACTCTCTTGCGGGACGTTTGAATAACCATGAAACTAACTCCTTTTGAACAAATATACATTGAATAGATAACATGGATAAAATGACTGGTCACTCAGACCCTCGTACAGGGGATTATTCAGACATCGAAAACACATTCAGGGAAGACCTAGCGAAGCTTTGGGGTACAGTTAAGAAGAGGCCTATAAGAGCTTGAATTCAACAATCTTATAGCGAGATAGAAGTAAGAAGCATGCAGGTTAGGTTTTTCCTGGACTTTTTTTCACAAAAGAAGCAATTCAGCATCGCTGAAAAACAATGCCAGATTACAGCGTACTTGTCGACGTCCTCAGTCTTATGGCTAAAAGAAAAGGTCTGTGACGCTTATCAGTATTTTCGGTTGCCAACTCAAATGACGTATGCTGCTTGTTGGCTAGAGAAACGAAAGCAAGCGTGCCTGAAACAGTGCTGTCAACAAGGTTATGTACTGTGCAGCGCAATCAGTTAAAATTGGAGCTTGCCGCGAGCCATCTGGGTAGCGGTAGATGAAGTTGTTCGAGTGGACAGAATGGAATTTGTCCAACAAAAGGTAAAGAAGATAACCTATCTGGCGCGCAAAAGTAGCACGCGTTTGGCATTATCCTGGATAGAAAGCCTGGATGGAAAGGAGCCGCTTACATGGGTTGCACAGCAGGTAGAATAAACTTCAGTATATCGTAGTGCCCGGCGCCATTCAAACCTCGCATCATTAAGAGCTGATTCGGAGGTGTCATGAATCTTTGAAGTGACGGAGGATATAATAAATAAACATCTTCTCCAGAACATTTAGGCTGAAGTACGAGGAAGAAATGCTACTTTTATAAAAAGGTTAGTAGTGACGTGTGGAGGGCTGTTACCCGGATTTCTTTCTTCCAATTTAAAAGGGTGTGTATATATATATATATATATATATATTCATCAGACGCAACGCATAAAGGTGCCAGTCACTGATAAAACAAGCAGGAGTGACTGGTAACAATGCAAAGTAATCCCTACAAAGAATAATCGTCTGGTTGGCTTTTAAATAATAATAATAATTAATTTGTGATGGCAGGCAGAAAACTCATGTCTTTAAAGTTTATCGGCCATATGTCAAAACTCTTGTGATTTGTTAACTCTTTTAGATTACAAACCAGTAACACACGATATTGACCTAGTAGGTTAGAAATATTCCTACATTTTTACGCATGTTTAAATCTTTTGACACGTAGCCTCCATCGTCATTACTCAAATGATGCAAATTCAAGGACAGAGCAGTTACTGTAGAGTTTGCATCGAATATGATGAAACATTTTCGTTAGAGCATTTGAAATTCGGTAGCGTTTTTCATTACCTAATAGTTCTGAATAGGTACGGGCATAGATAGTTAAAGCGAAAGGGGAGGTCCAAAAGCGGAACGTGGACTGGCATCAGGCCCATTCTTTCCGCCAGCCAACAACATTATTGCAACTTGGAGCTGAATCGGTCAGCGCAGGGATGCAGCTGATGCCGCATCACCATAAACAACAGTAAAATGCAACAATGGTGAGAGCCTATGACGATCGGATAAACGCAGAAAAGAACGACGCGATCAACGACTTGTATACGTTGTGATAACGGTCAGATAACGGAGGCGACATCAGCAGCAAAATTGGCATCGTCGATAACATCAACAGCGTCGCCGTTGGGTACCAATCACAAATTCAACTATTCTCACAATTCTATTAGTCCCCCTTCACCTCAATCGCACTCTCATTGACTACAAAGCGTTCGCTAGTCACAGTGGATTGAACTATCTTCGTTTGTCAGCAACGGCTACTCGTAGGTGGCGCGAGCCGGAAAGCAGCAAATAGAACCGAAGCTAAAGCCATTCGTTCGTTCCTCCCCGACTGCTCCTCGATCGTTAATGTACGTAATGAAAGCTGCTGACCGTTATTGCAACAAAATACGCCGGAAGTTACTTTTGACAGAATCTTAATAATGACAACATTATAATGATCGAACAGAACACGGACAATCATTTCACCCTTTCCTCTTTTTAGGCGTTTGTCTTCAATAGCGGACGGCTATAATCATTCAGTCGGTGAGTTTTTTTTTAGTTGTCATGGCTCGCGATTCGTCACCCCTGCTCGCTAGTCGAAGCTGATTCAAGCGAAAAGCCCAATGGGAAGAAAATTGGTTATCTTGAGAGGATTTTTTCTATACAAGTCTTGTCCGTTGTCTACGAAGACCATGATGATCGCGATGATGGTGATGATGTCAGTGCAATGTTTTTTCTTGTGGTTATCGACCGATTTAGCTCGTTCGTTCGTTTGTTCGTTCGTTCCATTGTGCTCCGTTTCGAACTTGGAAGATGATGAAGGCCTGGCCGGGAAGGCGAAAGTGCTTCACGGTCACGCTTGGCACAGTTCAGATATTTGATATGTAGGCAGTATATTGAAGCCCACACCTAAGAGGGTGCGATAACGAAGGGTGCTGAGATGCCGTAAAATACAGTTTGTAAAAGTTAAAGCATTCGACATAAGAACGACAGGGATTCTTCGATGGGGATCACCGATGGAGCACGCTGACAACGACATAACAACAACACGCAACAATACGTACTATTGCATGTTTGTCTCACATGAGAAATCACGAATCAGCTGGGTTGTCGACTAGAGATAATGTAAATTACCGAACGACTGTAACTTCGATCAACAAGCATTCTAGTGAAGATGGAACATAAATTAAATCTAACTACCTGTATCAAAAATAACGATAAAATATTAACAAATATATGATAAAACTGCACAAAGTTCTCAAGTCAACAACCTTTCGCCATCTCTGGCGGCTCCCGTTCTGAATTATCTGTCGCATGATACAATGTTGTTTCTGATTAACGAAGTAAAGCTTTACCCGTTATGACAGCATATATGCATTTATATAGTTATCGATATAATAAACCGTGAATTCTAAACGTTGATTTCATTCAATTGTCTATCGTCTTCTTCATCGAATGACAACTGGTTGTTGCTCTATTTTAACGCAACTGACGAGAGTTACCAGCGTCTACTTCTATTTCTTGCCGGTCAACATAGCCTGAGAAAATCGAGAAGCTTCTTCTTATATGCGACTGGACGCGTTTGCGAGTGTCGAGCTTCTAAGGCTTTTTCTGCATCGCTGTCAACGATTCTCTGCTGGTTAACTTTGCTTGGCCTGCTCTATCGCAGAGACGATACGTAGTGGCTGGCTTTCTGTAAAATTGGTAACGCCAAAAAGAGCCGTTACAGTGACGCAAACTATCGCGCAGATCAGAGGATTAGCTTCGTGCGCTTGTTATTATTGCCGCTGGCGATGATTCGTCGTTGGTCAATGCTTCTGAGGGTCTATGCCAGTAATAGCAGTAGCGGTCTGCCCATTATCCGTTATGTTGGGCACCGTTTGACGCGGACCGTGCCACGCTATTTTCATCTGTCGGGCCGCTGATTCTCTAGATAGCGGTCTAGATATCCGACGGTGTACTGGTGGGCCGATAGGTGGAGTGGGCCAGAATCGTTCGAGAAGCAGCGTAGCTTATGTAACATAGACAGCATGTGCATCACGCACAGCAGGGACTGGCACGAAGTTGCAATTAAAAAAAGTCCATTGCCACACAAAAATCGTAGGATTCGTTGCTACTATGCATATCTACGCTTAATCAAAATAACTAAAAGAAGAGGTTTTAACACTCGCGAGAACAGAGCAACAGCCCAGAAGCGGTCAAGATCTGCTCACGAGTAGTCGACATAGACCGCATAAACAGTACAAGTAGATCACTCGATATAACAATAATCATGTGAAATAACATATATAGATATGCGTGAGAAAAAAAATCCCCCTTGAGCTGAGAAAACGAGCAGCTAGAAATTCGCCAAACATGCAAATGCAAATTTTTCTTATTCTTCGATTTCTGCAGAAAGGGCACAGAATTGAATTTTGAATGAAACACAGTTTTCTATTTGATTAGTTTGCCATGAATCGATCTCTAAAAAGTATCGCTATATTCACATTGCTTGTTTGGCTGATTTTTCAAACGACCCGACATTGGTACAGAACTTTTGTTCAAGGTTCTACCCTTGTATCGCGCGTAGGTGTACAAGACATACATACAGCTAGCGGAAAAATCAGCGTCATTTACTGTTTTCGGTGCTTTTGAATAACTTAATGTTGTTACAGGAGATCTCCGAGGGTCATCGGAGTAAAGGAGAGACAAGTGCGAACGCGAACGAAACAGCGCGGACAGATAGAAACACCTCAGCAACATCGTCAACAACGATCATGGATGCAGCAGTTATACCGGTGTGCTGTTCACGTCAGACCGTGACATAAAGCGATTCACCATTAGTAACCACATTTCTTCTTTGCGTGAAGTCTCAGAAGCCAATAATGTTCGACCGGATAGGGAGCTAGGGAGAAAATCGCTGCTATTCGTTCACAATATTTACACAGTATTATTTCGCGTAAAGAGCAACACGACACCCACAACGACAGATGAAGGAAAGAACGCACACAAACCTCGACGTTTCTGAAAGCAGACATTTCTGAGACACTGAAAACCAGTGGATTCGCACATGAAGATTGAAGCAGTATCAATGGTAAACTAGCTTAAAAGCGAACGGTAATTCTGAAGTGCTATCGCTCATACAAATCACGGGCGTTTGTACGTAGATATATCTATGAATGGATAGGCAAGAGTGCAGAAGTTTACGATGTGACATTTCTAGAACGCGATAGAAAATGTTACAATGCAGAGCATTTTTTATACAGTGATTTACTTCGCCCCTTATAGGATACGTTGGGGCTATACGTTTATGACTTAAATGGGGCATGGGCTACCGATACTTTATGCAGATCCGCGACGCTCCGATTGCCTAAAAACTTTGAGTGTATAGAGGTTACGGCTTGTTGTTTCTCGTTGTTTCCATTCAAGCGTGGACGCTTACGTTCTTATTTCTATGGATTCTTCACACGGGCGAAGCTAAAATAGCACGACCAAACGAGTGAACAGACTCAGAAGGTTTATTAATTTGAATCTACTGAACCTTTGGTCTGAATCTTCACTGCATACAAGTTATCTGGACCAGCATTCTTCAAGTGTCTAACTAAATGAGTCGATTTTGTTTTTGTGGAGCTTTTAATAAAAGTGCAAAGCTTCTCTTCAATTAACCCGATAGGCTATATAAGGTATATAAGTATCAAATACACTCTGAATATCTGATTAGGAAACGATTAGTAGTGATCGATAATGGCGTATTCAAGAAACGACCCAGCTGATGGACTCTGGTCTGACTCTATAACACGATTTAAATAAAATTGTGTACAACAAATGACTGAAACAATTAAAAGTCGAATAGTTTATGTTAACCGAGCCCCTTTTAGTTACGTTCCTAGGTTCAGCTACTTCATTTAGTACTTCAGAAGTACTACGCTATTATTTATAACCGTTTTAGCAGCTGATGAACGGCTCATGCTTTACGATGCCAATAGCGCGCTTACTCTTCCAGTATCAAAAGCGCCGTTTGATAAAAGTCGTCCTCTCATCAGTATTCATTTTTAGATAAACAGCCAGGAGAATGTATAGAGATTTCATTAAGCGAACGCTATATTGTGAGTCTGCAAAATAAGCTGATTGACAATTTTCGTACCCGAAACCTTTTCGCTTTATCGTCATATTTACTGTTGTGTAAATCGAAGTTATATACTAACGGTATCCTGCGTAAAATGTCCTGAAAATGTTATCAGGCTTATCACGACTGTGTTATACATCACAACGATTACTCAGTAACGCTTGTCGTTCTCTTAGCGCAGACAATGGTAATCCGTTCCTTCCTCCTGATCGGTACATTCAAGATCAGCTTTTGATGCCAATCTATCCATTTATTTATTATATCTGTCAAGCGATACCTTACATCTAGCCGTCCGGTCCGCGTGGTTAACCGCTGTGTCGGCAAAGGATGTTTTATAAAACGGTTACGGATGAGTGTCTGTAAATACAGTAATGTCCAATGCAGATTCATTATGACTCTGCGAATATGCCTCCGAAGCAAATGCGCTGTGTTTAGCGTACCATTATAATTACCGCGGTGGCACCCCTTTTTTCATTTGCGCACCTTCTTGCCCTAGATCGCCATGCCAAATGTCGCAGCGACAGCAGCAGCAGCAGCAGTAGCAATAACGCTTCGTGAGAACGACGATGAACAAGGTACTGAATAAATTATTTCTATTGTGGCTTTCTTTATCCAACCTTGTGCCACATAACTGCACCATTGCGGAAGTTCGTATTTAAAGGGTGATTAGTTATAAGTGGCCATTAACACAATCAGAATAATAATAATAATATTATATGTGCCACTCATACTAACCGGCTCATCTTGGACCGAACGGCCAGTGACAGATCCTGAACTGAAGTAGATGATTTCGCTAGTATGTTCAACGTGAATTGACGCTGGTAATAACTAGAGGTATTGAAAAGTTGGTAATAGCCATTGACAACGCGTCAGCGACGTCCACACTCTCTAAGTTGTCCTCTAGGCTAATCAGAAGGTAAGTTTTTCATTCTGCCAAGGCAGTAAATATGCATGCTAATGGACTGAAGAAACAGTATCCAACGATAGTATAAACGACATAATAGAAAGCAGCTTTCATCCAATGCCGTTTGATCTTATGTAACCGTTACTGTTACGGACAAGTTGTTGACAAGCGTCGTTCGTATCAATCAATGTTATAACTTACCTGTGTAAAGTAACCGACAAAAACGGCTAAGTAGAATACGAGCCGCATTGTGAAGGCGTCTTGTATTTTTTTCACGTTTCTTTGCTTACACAAGATCACTTTTCTACCAATGCTCACGAACAAATTTCACTTCGTCGCAGTTTCGTACAATTCCTGATAGTTTTAGCACTTGCACCGAATTAAATAAGGATAGAGTTTTATTTTGTCACGCTCGAATGTCCGCTTAAAAAAGTTGGTCAGTTCGGCGGCACAGGGTAAGTTGCCGTTTAATCTATTTCGAATACTTTAATGTTGGTAGGGTGATTCAAACCACAAACAGTCGTGCTTTGATATTGTCGCATGCATACTTTTGTTGCTCGTTAGAGAACTACCGAGACGCCGCGCACGGAGACCCTTGAATTAAATGCGCTCCCTGCACGAATTGAACCAACTTCGTTTCTAAATAGCCGCACTCCGATTGTCGCCGTATGGAAAACCCGCTGTTAGTACTACGTAAGCTACATTTACTTTAATACCTCGTGCTTCAGCGGCAGGCAGCAAGCAGCTCACTTACGTCAAGTCGCTACGAGCGTCTGTCAAACCTAGCGGGGTCATAGCTCCTGGAAGCGCCCTGCACCTTCGAGTTTCGGGCGGCAACGCCGGTGTGTCGTCAATCCGTTTTCAAGCAACGGCCGGCTGGGCCAGACTGTGTAGCTGGCTCGCTAACTGGTCGTCGTTGCGTCGAGCGGCAGCGACGACTACCAAAAAGGCGAGCGACGGCGCCAGCAAAGTTGTATGTAGATGAGTGGAATACAGAAACGACACGGAATCTCCTCTGTCAAGTCCTGGCCAGCGTTGAGCTCTACTTTTGGGGCACTGCTGCTGCTGCTGCTGCTGCTGCTGCTGCTGCTACTGCTGCTGCTACTGCTGCTGTCTTACCCCTCCTTTTGCTGCGTTCTTTTGAAATGCAGGCCCAGTGAAGTCGATCCAACGAAAAAGTTCCGCTGCTATCGGCTGCCGCTTGTCGTGTCTCACGAACAGATTCGCTAGCTCCCGGCAAAGTGACCAAGTGGCGCTGAGGAATCGGTGTCCCTTTCCATCTATTTTCTTCCTTCTCCAACTATTCTCGTCCCGACTGCGGTCGGCGGGTCCATCTAACATATGAGAGCCGTGGGCCAAATCCTGCCACTTCATTCTGCCAGTGCCCAGCCCTGTCACCCCTACGGTTTAGCGACATACGCTCAAACGGGCCCTAAAAGCCAACGATCTTCAATTCAATCAAAACTTTTTAAAATGTTGGAAAGAAGAAACAAAAAGACAGATACAGGCAACTGTTTCCCCTAGCTGAGCTCGTGGTCATATATTTAATGATCACATAATGCGGGTAGTATGCTTTTTGAAATTGAACTATTCACTTATGTAGGTCTGGAATATTTTTGCTGTCAGATTTGACATCCGTACAGCTTAAAATTAGAACATATTACGAACTCCCAAACCATAATATTACGCTTTTGTTGCGCTTGTAATATATCATATCGGCGCCAAACTACCGTCAGCCGTCGATTTGTGCAGTAACGAGCAGCACTACATATTCTGTACATCGATCGATTTTTACTCATGGATGCCGAACCCGTACACTCAGTATTTTCCTTACATGATCCGTACCTTATAACGTACGCACATGTTCAACCACGTTCTAAAGCAGAACTCGCTGAAGATGTTCAACTAGCTTCCTGCATTTGGTGATCCACGTCACTTCGTTCTATCGTATTTCTTTCTTATATGCATTACGCTGTTCGGGTCACTTCATAACCCTGCAGTCGTATCCTGTTACCCTGTTTTAGTAATTTAAGCGTGTTACCCTACCTCTAGTATTCCCTCGCCCTAATTCAGATATTTTTCGTCACTTTCGTGTTCTAGTTATTCTGTAGGCTAGTCTTATTCTGTTGTGTCATTTATCCCGTGATCCAATTGCTACTAGGTCGTCTCTGCGCTACCGTTGAGTTACCCCGCATTGCAGTTTTCCCACAATCTTAACATGAAATGGATCTGAACCTTCAAAATTCCATGCAAATATTAGGCAATCCAATTAATCCAGCAGATGAACATCAATATTTCATAATGTTTTTTTACCGGTTTTATGAAAAAAGTATCTTTGGACCCGCGCCAAATTGAAAATACTTCTAATCTCATTGTGTGTTTACTGTGGACAATTCAAAACACTACGGTGCTAACGCACGTTTTTCACTAATTCACAAATTGTTGTTAAGAAAATTATCCAAATGTGTCTATCTCTTCCCTGGCGTGCACTAAATACAGCAGGCTTTACTATTATCTTGTATCATCAAACCGAATTTCTAGGCATATTGTTTTCGAAATATATAACTCTCTTATACAAAATAGATGGCCTGACACTTACGCTTTCTCTGCGTAAGTTTCTGCGACTAGCATTAATAGCTTGTTTTTCAAAGATATCTATCTTTTCCTTATCACGGCTCTAAGAGTCTGATGTCTCAGGTCGTGACCGACACTTTTCGCGTACAGATTCATATTCTTTATATTATTCGCGCTTGCATTTCTGAGTGGCCTCTACTCTTTCGCCGTTATTCTGCTCTTTTGCTCGACTTTAGGACCACCAGCGTGTCAACAGGTTTGTGTCCCGGCATTTACTATGCAGGTTCATATACTGTGTATAGTACACGCTTGGAAGGCTCCAGGTTAATTAATAATTCTCCAGGTTTTTGTTCTTCTTTGCACCTCCTCCTCTTTAAGGGAATCGCACGTTAACCAGTTCTTGACTTTAACACAAGTTTTCATTGTTGAGTTTCTATCCTTTCAGTGCTTTGCGCTTATATAAAACTGCATTATACTGTTAGTCCTGCTACCTCTCAGCCAGACCGTGATAAAGTATATCTGCAAAAACAATCAATAAGATACTGGAACCTACCTTCGAAAATTATAAAGCTTTTTAGTCCTCTCTCAGATTGTGTTACTCGTTACGCATCTTATATTCAGAAACGAGAAGCGTGTTTGAAGAAATAGGCACGCTCGGGCAAACTATCCCTATAAAATTAAAACAGTATGTTTTGTTATAGTGTCAAATTGTAAAATAAGTAATGGCGCTTTTAACGTTCTCTTTCCATATTACTTATTCATTACTTGTGTGTATATGTTACTCGAAGGTACTTTCTTACCTCCATAGCCTCTATATAATTTTTTATGCAATAAACCAAATTTCAGTATAAGAGTAGATAAAAGACATCGATGCTTATGAAGAGAGTGCATTTTTAAACTTACCCTATTTTGCCCTCAAGAGAGGGCAAGAAGCCTGCCGAAACCGCCTGAGAAATTTGTTCCGTACACCATGCGAGCTCCATCTTTGAAAGGACTACTACAATAACGGCACCTTAGAACCGGAAGTTGTATCCAGTCCAGCCAGACATCCTAAACTAAGAAGATGGCTTTGAAAGAAGATGGCTAGCAAAGACCTTACGAGTTGGCCAAAAAATGAACTGCAATTATGTGACCATTGTCTTGAAATTATGAGATTTATTCAAGAATTGAAAGCCTGGGCGCCCTCTAAATTCGACGCTCAACCATAATAATATATTAAAGCGCAGACATTTTTTTTGAACAACTAGAGATAGCGCCGCTACATTAATATAAAGTATATAAATTAATAAAAGGCTCCGGAAGATATGTCCAGAGTTAGGCTAAATATATACTCGAAAAAAATTATGGTTTAAATGTCATGGGATTGGGAAAGTCTCAAACATTGGGAGATCCTTGAAAAAAAGATTATCAAGAAAAACCTATAAGTGGCGTCGTCGTATCGAACAATCACCATGATAACGGCGGATTATACATAACCAAGGTAGAAAGAGCAGCTCTGCTGGAATTTGAGCGGGGGTCTTCTTACATTCACCATACTCTCCAGATCCCTCGCCAAAGGATCGTCGTCCTCCTTCCCGATTACAGAGAAATGAAATTTGTAACAGTACATCTACCCCATAGTGGAACGTAAATGTGGGCACCTCGTTGTACCGGAAATCGTATAGCTAATTCTAATATTTCATATCCTAGAATAACTTTCCAATGTATGACCATGCTAATCTAGAACGCCGTGTTCCACACCTATCCTTTCAACAAAGAGTTCTAATGTCAGTTATCTGTTCTCTAATAATAATAATAATTATGTACGTTATATTTATTCACACTTGCTGCAAAATAAAAGTAGGAGGTCTCAATAATATATAAGGTTGCACGAGAAGCTCCTGCGCTTAGAAGAACTTTCTATTTCCACTTTTTGATTCCTTTTTGTATACAGTTTAAAAATGCTCGTCTCACATTATCAGCGAATTTTAACAGAATTGCCATTTTAACTCATATGAGATGCTCAGAGAAAGGCGTTCTATATGGAAAAAAGTGCATTTCTAACAGCTTCTGTACAATGCATTTTATTGAAGCCAAAACACCGTAGGGGCAAGCTAGGGCATTTTCCTTGTATATGGACGCTGTTCTTAAAAGAACTTAAGAGTTTGTTAAGTTTAAAGATAGTATCCGGGGCCCAGAGTATGCTCTTCGCTTCGACCGACCATATAAGCTTGATGACGACCAAGATCTGGAGGCACTTTGACAATGAACTCGAGAATTGGCCGAAAAGATGGGCTGGGTTAATTTTTATATATGGGTTAATGTAATAAACAACTGGCATTAATTTTTTTAAGTTCTTTGGTTTATACAAAAACTCGGAGCTTGGGTATCTCATAAACTCTCTGAACCTAACAAGGAGTTAAGGCTTAAAACTGCATCTCAGCATTTCGCCCGATATCGAGCGTTACGCGCTCATTGTGACCGATTCTTGTACAAAACTGCCACTAGTGATAAAAAATGACCTCTGTGCAGGGCTTTCAGATATATATAAGATTATGTTTTGCATTTGATGGGAGTGCAATTGCCTGATTCGCGGAGATTGCTTTCTATGAACCATACAGGTACGTTTATTTGCCCTAATTGCGTCGAGTTAACTACTCCATACGAGAGAAACGACCCGACAAACGACGTCACGTAATTCTGCTTCGTGGTAACGCGAGGTTACACACGGCAAACCTCGTCAAAGCTACCCTTGTGGATTTCAAATAGCAGGTTTTGTTGCATCCTCCATATTCTCTGGACTTCGCACCGACGAACTCTCATTTCTTCTATTCATTAGCAAATTAAATTAGGACAGTGAAGTCGGTCGTCAAAACTGGTTGAACGAGTTCTTCAACATCAAAGGTAAAATTTCTAGCGAGAAGGAATAAGTAGATTGGTTGAGTCAACAAATACCCCAACAAAGTCTCAGCGGCTAATGAACTGGGTATTCTAAAACATTCGTTGGCAGGCGGCCTTAGTATATCTCGATGACATGATCATATTAACAAAGACTGTTTAACAATCTATGTATCATTACCTTTAGGAGAGGAAAGTCTGGATGAAGATTCGGAAGCACGTACGCATTTGTGGCTTTTTTGCGGCGGACAAAAGCTTGCCATGGGTTCAATCTACCGACGTGCCTATTTGCACAGACAGGCCTGGATTTCATGGGGCTGCTCTGCATACCCAAGATCAGTTTTTAGATGAGACAGATACTGGATGGCGTCTTCACCAAAGCGGAGCAAGTTTGTAGCGATAAACGAACTTTTCAGCAAAATTCCTTCGTCATGGCTTTACCACTAACTACCGTGTCCTACGAAATTTCTATGCAATTTTACTCCTCAAGGTCTTTAGTTCTAGAATACTAATATTTATTTATATATACCTTTGTTCATCCCTTTTTTCATATTTTGTATTGATTTAAAAAACAGGTCAGAATTGTTAAAACTGCTCAATAGAGCTATACAGTTACACCCTCATAAAGCAGGTTTATCTATGTATATAAAATCTGAATCCCATAGGGTTTCACACTCATATAGATTTTTCAGAAAAAGCGTCCGCTTGAGTGCACTTTATAATTAACTAAGGTATAATTAATTAATGTAAGCGGATCTCCTGCAATAAAGTCTAATGATGGTTTTTAAATGCCAACATAGTTCTTCAAAAAGTAGGCCTATTTGCAGAGAGTCGGTAAACTAGCATTATATTGTTGTTTCTTTCCAACTTTTCCTGTTAGGGTAAATATTATGACTGCAATGAAATTTTTTGCATGAAGGCCTAGTCTGAGATAACTAATTTTACCCGCGTTAGAATATACTTTTGCTATTACGTTACGCTTCTTGTATTGGAGCCGGCTGACTTGTTTTTATTTTTATTTTTTGATTACTTCAGTCGTAACCTTCTTATTTTTAGTATTCTTAGTACCTAGCCTTCTTAATTTTAGCAGTCTTAGTATGTAGCCGTCTTATTTTTTGGCTACTATTTTTAGCCATGCCAAAATGTTATCGATAACAGTCTCGTCAGCAGACTCTGCTGTCATTTAGCAATGCAATTTGTTTTAGAAATATGCAGTAAAAAAAGCCTTCTATTATGTATTTCAATACATTATATGTCTACCTAGCTCCACAGCGTCCTAGACCAACAGTTTTAAGTATAGTTTTTATTTATTCCTAAAATAGCTTGCTAGTCGCAAACAACTAGTTCGCAACAAACTAAAAGCTACGTATAAATCCCGGTATAGTTTCGACTGAGAAATCTCTTACCTATCATACGAAGTTCGTTCCAAAAACGTCAACTAACGTTGTTCTTTTGTAACAGATGCGGCTGTTTGATTGGAAGTATATTTGGCTAAAAATTTCCAATTGACGATGTCAGTTAATCCGCGTGATCCGTTGTTCAAATCTGCTTATTCGTACTGACACCATCTATATATAGCAAATACGAAGCGATAGTTAACACTGATTGTTTATATCTATGGAGCACATAATTTTTAGCTGAGCATTTGTGTCTCTGCTGTACAGTGCCGCAGTATTACTTCTGCTATGGCCATTAGCATTGGCAGGGGCAGTTCACCGATTATCGGACCAACCCACCTAATTACGAATGAATCTACAAACATTTTCAAAATTAAATTAACAATGTAACAAATAAAATAATACAAATTATTATAGAAACGATTTATTGCTAATTTAATTTAGTCCTCGTACGCTAAATAGAAAAGTCTGATGCTGCACCATACGAATGAGTACTTACATCTATCAGCAAATAGAGAGTTACTTGTTATCGATTCTCTCGGCTTATTAACTCTATTAGTATCTAGTAATAAAGAACCTTCAGTGAGACTATAGCACATCGATAAACATTCAAGTAGGCCCGCTGTGAAAACTGTTGTCAAGTATTAGGCTTATATATTGCAGGCTTCTAAATTCTGCCGTTGGTCCCCTTGATGACGCAGTAGTAACGTAATTTCCTACTAAACCTGGGGACACGTTGTGGTCCTATAGTGGGAACCAGCTGTCAGAAGCGATGGTTCGTAATCTACGTAAAACAGAGAACATTTATTTTTAGACGTTCTGATCCCAGTCGATATCTACGGACAACATGTGATAAACTTCATTGGGTATTATTGAATTTTTAGTGATTGATGGAGTTGCGTGAACTACTCAGTCTAAACGTGTTTCGTTACTCGTTCGGTCTTGGCATTTTGGGCACATTTTAAGCAAAAACTGATTCCATTGTCTACCCTGTTTAACAAGAAGTGTGAACAATTAATAAAAGACCGTGCACATTTTGTATTACAGAGACGCCCACATGGCATCATATACATGCATTTGCTCACTATCCATTTACACTTAGAAAATAAGAAAGTAAGACAAACTACAACTCGACTTCCTCTAGTTTACGTTCATCCGTCATTTTTTGCAATTGATGCGCCGTTATTACATTGTATTCTTGGTGAGATCTAGCCATCGTGCGACAATAGTAGTAGTGACGCTTAGGCTTTCCTATTTTATCATGTCGGCAAAAGTGGTGTATTGAATAACAAACTGTAACAAAATGCTGCTATACATTTTCTCGCAAATGTAACTTGGATAATTTGTGAAAAACGTGGCACATAATCTGTCACGCTGTTTGCTCCTCTAACCTAAATGCACTAGCACTTTTAAGCAGAAACTATGATGTGCCAGTAATCAATGCTATGGAAACAATCGACAAACACAAACGATTGACGTGCATCTCGGAAATCTCCTACTAACAATTTGCAACGTATCTCAAAGAAATATAATTAACCTTTCTACTTTTCATCGAGGCAACATCGTTATTTAGCCTAATAATATCATATACTTGCCCCTTTTTAGCTAATGTCATTATATAAATAGCTTTGCGTCTAAATTGGCTACGTGTACAGCGAATATATACAACACGATATGGACACGTAGCCCCTCAACTTTCTACCTAGATATATATCTGTACGTGTATTCGTCGATATTCCGTTTCAGACGTACTTGGAACTGTTTCATTGAACATGTGTACTGAAGTACGTCTGCTGTTCGATTCACTGTCTTCTTTCGTGGTAATCCATCATCGCAGTTTGGCAATTCGACAACAAACTCACTAGCTATTAAGCCTCGTCGAGTCACTTAGCCATATACGAACACAATGAAAGTCCATGATTCCATTTATTTCTGCGATGGATGAAAGAACGCTCGTACAAAGAGCAGAGAGACCACACTGCCCAAGGTCATACCGGTAGCAAGCATGGCAACCAATATTACTCCTGCCTTCTCTTGGAGGAAGTATTCCAGTTTCCTTGGTCCGAGGACCATGGCAGCAGATGTCAAGTAGCCATTGGATACAGCAAACAGTGCGTTGAGCGTGACAAAGGCCAGGTCCGAGTTGAACAGGACAGGTAATGGCATCGATGGTGTCGCACGCGGCTCGACGTTGCAAGCGAAAAGTAATGGCAGAAACATTAGTCGCATCATTGTCAAACCGACAAGCAGATTTTCGCGGCGAGCGGGAAAAGCGGCCCACGACGTCGACGCTAATAACCGACCGACAAGGTCGCCGACGTTGAATACAAAAAAACAAGCCACTGGCGTGAAGAGACGTGTCCACAGCGCGCTAGGCGATCCAGAGGCCTTCACATGAACAAGAACGCCTGGGAAAACGCCGATCGTCCCGACATAAATGAGTACTAACGTTATGCAATAGTGCCACAGCTTTCGCACAACGAGGCCAGTGCGCACCTTCACTTCGAAGTTGCTCTCGTAAGTACTTCCGTAGCCGTCATCAACGACGCCGCTACTAGCCACGCTCGCCGCTTGTATTTGTCCTCTGGTAGATGCCAATGCACATTTCAAGTAATAAAGATAAAACGCCGACCGCTGAGTTCGAAAAAGGACGAATACGCTGAAGATTAACAAGGCCAAAGCAAGAAGAAAATAAATAAGCCCAGATATTATGGCAGAAACGTTCAGTAATAATACGGCCACCTGAAATTCGACGAAATAAGCGAAAACAATTAAATGAACCACTTAAGTAGATACTAAGTAGGCTTAAGCAGTACCGCTGTAATACAACGTAACAAAACAAATGCAACACTTGTCGCACAAATACAGATTAATGTATCGGTAAAATATTAACGAAAATAAGTATTAAGCATGTTGGTCACGTTTTTTATCCAAAGCTCGAATTAGGCCAGATAAGGCTTTCTTACCTGAAGCACAGAGGCGACCACTCCGCCAGCAGATTGACCAATAATACAGGCGTGAGTGTATTCACTGGGAAATGTCGACGCAACACCTATTATCCCTCCCTGAAAGACGGCAGCCGAAGCCGCCACGAGTAGCATCTGTGCTAGCGTCAATCGGTAATACCACACTTGCCCTGCACCAAAAGCAATACGATCATACACTGTTTATTACGGTTTTACTGCAAGACTTATGAAAGTATGCTACATCAAATATATAACTATATACCGAATTGAATACCTCGTGGGCCTAATAATCCACTTCACGTTGCGCAGCAGGACCGTTTAATCCCATGGCAAACAAATCATAATTTGTGACCAGTCCAACTACACAGCCTTTTATCACGGTCCCTCCTAGAAATAAGGGCATTTTCTCTTTACTTTTGTTAAGCCCTTGTTTTCATGTTCAATCAATTTATGCATCAAAAACGGTAGGCTATATGGGCCAAAATCCGCTTAACGTTATTATTGAAAATAGCAACCATCAACACTCTTTATATATATATATATATATATATATATATATATATAGGATTCTTTTATAATGTGCCTCAAACGAACTCACTACAATTGATTTATTTAAGGAATTCAATTGAAAACACTTATATCATTAGCTCATTTAGCTTCACAGAATGACACCATATTATCCCAAAAGAGCGCTAAATAGGCCACTAACGATTTAGTAGGAAGAAGTTAGTTATCTGATGAAGCTAACAAGGAATGTTTTGCTTTCGATAAAGTGCTGTGATTATTGTCAGAAAAGATGATACTTTACGAACAGTTTACTAGCAATGCAACATAAGTCAAAGACAATTTATGGCCCATAGGTCCTCTTGAAGTTCTACTGCGTAATGTAGAGCTGGGTTTTAGATGACTCAAGCCCTGGCATACCTACGAAATGCTTTTTGTTCAAAAGGTAAATAAGACTAATAACAATATACGCACCACTCTCCAAAACCTACTTGATCGCAGCATACATATCATGGTTACGAATAATTCTAATATAATTAATTGTGATTTATATCCGTCATAATCCGATATGTGGTCACAACCCGACAATATGATTTTGTCCGGTGACGAGTTATGGCTGTAAAGTTTCTTCCTAAGGCAACCACATAGTAACAGAGATAACAATAGGCAGCTTTTTTTGGCATCAAAAGAGAGCTAGTTCTTTCTGGAAGAAAGCAACAAACTCGTCAACAGACAGCAAAAACGATGCATCACATTGGATTTCTATACTAAAAATTAAATTTATATGCATTTGGTAAAGCCTAAACGGCAAAGCAAAAACTTCCTTTTCTATCCGAAACCAACGATCTACGTTATTTCGAGTTTTTATATGGCTTCTAAAAAGACCCAACGAGGTTCGTGTAAAGCAAAGCCGAAGATTCCTTATAGAGTTTAGGTTTTCAATTCTCAAAAATTCATCAAATGGGCTTATAAAGCCGCTGCTGATACACCTGCACTTCTTATACAGAAACTAACGGCCGTTTCAAAGAGGAAATTATCGATTACCGATTGGGTCGTCCAGCAAAGCTCCAATGATTAGCCTTTTTGGGATGTTGTGCGCCTTTTCGGACTTTTGGGCATATTTACCACCATGCATTTTTAGTAACTTTTGCCTATTGTCAGCTTTAAATTTGATTTCGCCTAACTTCTGTAGATCACGTGTTTGAGCCACACCGTAATAAGTTAACACCTATAAATGTCGCTTATTTATTGTACAGTTGTTATTAAAAAGTCGTTTGCGGATTACAAAATGGCTTATTTCAGGAATTATTATTAAATATATATATATATATATATATATAATTATTGAAACTGCAATCGCGATGGATAGTAGCTACACTGAATATTTATGACCGCCGGAAATGACATCTAGCGCAGAGAAAAAATTGAAATGTTTTTGTTGTTGTTTAAAATGAGTCTTAAAGCATGAAAGATGTTTCTGTTTAGCCATGTATGCATTACTGCTAAGTATTTTTTGAGACTACTTAGTTGTTTCAGTTCCTCTGTAAAAATAGTGTCAACGACATCCAACTTCAGATATCATAAAAACGTAATAGCCTCTAAATTATAGGGACGTAAGAAGATTCAGTATAATAACTTGTATAACTTGCTTTCAGTTCACCATCGTAAGTGCAACTTTGTAACAGGCAAACCTGTAGTAGAAACATATACTGGTTATTTTCGCTAAAAAATATTCCATGGAAGGAGATACGTTCCATATCGCCCCACTTTTTATAATTTGGTATAATAAAAAGTTCATTTAGCGCAAATTGAACTTGTGTGCATCTATAAATTATGAAATTCTATTTTATCTGTATTTGGGATCAACGTTTATTAGCTAGAAATTATAGCGACCCATGTGGCCTTTGCCTGGTATAAGTCTAGCCCATCTTAGCTTGCCTTGGCCTTAAAGTAACAAAATTAGTTTGAGAGTACTAACATAGGTCTGTGTCGACGACAACGAGCACTGTCACAGAAGCAAACAGAAGTGCCGTAGTTATAAGGGCAGCTGGATTTCGAATGCGGGTCGGAACTTTCTCATTAAGCAATGCTGCCAGGTAGAGAATGATCAAAAACGGGACGTTTGAAGCAATTGATACAGCAGAAAAAAATTCGCTCTGTAAAGGTGTCTTAGCTAGATCATTCAGAATCGTTGAAAGAAGTGTCTCTGTTTGTAATACGTGCTGCGGTCGTGCTGCTGTTGTTGAAGCGGTACCATGTCCTGCAGCATTTGGTACATCCCTGAACTTGAACATCCAATACTGCAAGTAATAATACGTGACAATATGACAGCATTTAGACGCAATGCTAAATAAACTATAAGCAAAAATTCAAATAAGAGATTAGGGTAATGATAAATGCATTTGATCGTTTGTAATTATTAAGAAAAGGCATAATGATGCTATATGAAAAGTTTTACTACGGTCTTATGAAATGTAAATTGGTGAATCGTGCGCATGTGAGTGAAATGCTTAAAAGAATATTATATGTACCATTGAACGCCGCAAACATTTACAAGGTTGCAGTATATCGGCAATATAATGGTGTAAAACAATATAACCAATATAGAAATCTTGAAAAAAAATAGTGCATATTCCAACCATTTCGAACACATCATGTCTATAGCCTCACCTCTGAAGCAGTAATGAAAAAATTCCATGGTAAGAGTGATACAAGGCCAAAGAGGAAGAACGCCATGCGAACCATGCCATTACGGTCTTTGGGAGCGTCACCAGGGTGGTCCGGTACTAGCGAGCTCGCAGTAGTACCATCCGAAACTCTAGAGCACCTTGACAGAAGTGGAGCTTCATCATCCACTGTTTCAACGCCAGTCCGAGTACTTCTAGGGCTAGCCTCAGTCGAACCACTTGTTCGGTGACCCAGTCGTGTACAGTTACTTCTATTCACCGAACACTGACTATTCGTAACGTAACAGCAAGCGGAGTCAACTGGGTCGCTTTCTAGCGCAAGGTGAGTGCGGTAATTACGTCGGTACGTTGGCGCAAGAGGATCGTTCAGCTTGACTGAAGACATTGTTGGACCCTTTCACGACTTCTTGCGAAACGTCAATACGACGATGTTGAGACGGTCAAGGCTGTTTTGAGTTAGATGTTCGTTGTGTCGGTTATCGAAAAGTTTTGGACCTGTAAAAAAATCGTCTAAGGGTTAAGTAATTGTTAAACAAAAATTAGCCGTTCTACACGGGTCAGATAGACTTGTAATATAAATAACAGTTATAAAGCTATTACGTTGCCCTGATGAAATTATAGGCTGTTGCTGTTTGCCGCTATCTGCTTTCTGGTCTGCGACGGTTAAGCGATGTTCTACTAACAGTTCTCCTTCGCCCTATATTTCCGTTATTATTGTTATCATCGGTTTGCCCACATTGTACATAAAACCTGCATCGTACATGCTACACAAACCCCTCCTTGTCTAGTCAGCCTTTCAACTTTAATGGAAAACGAATAAGAAAACTTGAAAATGCTGTTCATTACGATCCTATATAAGCATCTATCTATAAGCCCGATTGGGTAGCAGTAGCCTTTTACGAATTGAACGAAACGCTAGCTCTGTGTACACTATTATATCTACTTCATGTCTCAACGGTACATACCACCGCTGTTTGACCATCACCAATAAATGGAAAATTAAAAAAAAACGATCGTTAATTACGCACAAATCTAATACTACTAATTTAAAATTAATTGCTGAACTCGTATAATATATCAATAAGCTTTACTAATTAGTTATAATATTACTATGTTAACGGTTTGGTAGCACTTCTACGCAACTTCGAAGGCGACGGTACAGCGTAATACGAAGGCCGACTGTATAATAATAATAATAATAATAACAGTAAAGGTCTTGGTATGTAAGAGATATATTTTTGACTGCTTTCTCAAATTTTTCGATTTATAAATAGCCTCGATCACTAAAAGAGTTCATAGATCACCTTTTTACACTAGATGCGCTGCTACAACACTATAGCAAGGATCAAAGACTAGAACTCACAAAGATTTGCTTATTTAATATTAAGAACCTTTCAATCCATTTGTTGATGAATTATGTTTCCCCTGAATCATCTTTATAGAAGTTAGATAAAAATATAAGTAATATAGTGTAGATTTTCTCCGTGTTTTCTGACTCCTCTGAAGTAGACTTTTTCCGGATGGTTACTGTGAAGATCTGTAACACACAGACACACTGAAAATTCACAGACTCTTGTAGTAGCAGTTTTTCGGCGCAAACTCCAAAATGAACGCAATACCTATCGCAAATGTATCCAGGGTCTTATAACTCTCTTATGTGCTATACTATATACTAAAAAGATGTTATTGATTAAATCAACCTCTTTTTTGACAAACATCGATGTCCCGATCATGTTTCATGCTACGCACTCGAAAAACAAATCATTCAAACTGATGTAGAAGGACTCAGTAGTAAATATAGGCTTACGTAATTTTACGTATATAGATTTGATAAACTTTTTACGCTTCGTCAACTGGTCACGACAGTTGAACTGTTATTTGTAGGTGGTTAACCGTCTGTGACCATCATTTGTCTATATAAATTAATAAAGGTTAGTCGCAGTGCTTACTTACGGTTATCTAATTCACACCTGTGATATATCCAGGAACAGCTAAGTCCGCAGACCATAATACATCAAACACTGAAAGAAATTCCAGGGAGTCCAGCAAGGTCTACTTATACACCCCATGAACCGCTTATACCCCCTAATGGGAGCAAGCCGTTCATGGTGTAGCTAAAGATAAGTGATTGCGAGAAGGCATAAGCATGCAAACTGAAAGGGTTACCGCGATGTAGCCGTCAAGGCGTTCCCTCGTAGAGTGATCCTGGCATATTTCATCATGACGACTTTCATCTCCATTATATAGGTTAAATCAAATAATATTTTCAATAATAACCGGTTAAATGGATTGCTTCAAGTCGCTAGACTATGACTTTCCACATATGACGTTAAGTTAGAGTAAGTTTCTAAACTATTGGTTGAAATATCCCCAATCGTAAGCTACACTCACTGTTCTAGGTGAGTCACCGGTGTTTATTCTTCGTAGCGGCACTCTTCCTGAGAAAAATCTCACATTGAAAAAGAACGAACGGACGAACCTTGTAGAGCAGCTGAGTGGAATACAGTTAGCCTTAATTAATATTTATTCTTCTAAGAAGAGCTCGTTTTGTAACATCGTCCCAAATGTTCTAAGAAACTACTAGAAAGAATTCGGGCTATATTCGAAAATAGGAATCAATGTAGCAGTAAGATCTTGTTGGTAATCGTATAAAGCCACGTTTAAAGATATCCTCAACATTGTTATATAACAAAACAACAAAAATGTTGTTTGTAATGATGTTATGCCAGCAGTGGCGATAAAAGCACTCGATCGAATAAATATTCGCAGTAGCAATTAGGTGTCTGCCTATTCGAAAACGCGCTTGTCCTTCTACCCACATATGCAGCTGTGTCGTTTTGATGTATTATTATAGATACCACCTCTAATATTTTGAAGTTTAAATTGTTCGAATTCGGTTGTGGTCGAACACCTCTTGAGGTCGCATAATTACAAATTGCACTATCGTCGGCAAGGCAAAAACATCGAGTCTCATTCCATTGACACTTTAGCAGAAACGACAAGGTACACAGGGGAATTAAGAGGAGCGTATTCAGCTCATGCGGGAAAATGTTTTTTTGCTCCTTTTTCTCTTTGCTGTTTCGCCCCAAAATGATTCGCGGTTGAAGAAACTGTTCAAGGTGAACATTCACCAGATTAGATGCTAACATACGTAGTACGACTAGTATAGCGTGTATACACAAGTTGTTTTACGTGCACGTATGTTATATAGGACTCCAGCACTATTAAACTTAATACTGGTATTATTACAGAATTTTATCCCCCTGGCAGAGGTCACGGTGTCTTGAAATCATCTGGCGAACGCCTCCGAAAAGGGCTTTTACTAGCACTTGATCAATACTGCTCGAATTTTATGACAGCTTCTTTTTAATCTGTAGACCTTTCTGTGGAGTTACTTGGCTGATGGTACAGAGATGGTTAATTCGCAAATTCTATTCGCTTTATTGAATTCGCTGTCGCCAACGACATTGTTTATTTCGCTTTCGGCCCTTAGAATTACTAATACAGGCGTTTTTTCGCAGTTATTTACCTTCATCGAGTTGCTGCAGTAATCAAGAATAGAATGAGGTTGACGACGAGATGACGTACTGCCCCTAATTGCTTCATATTATTCCGCTGTTTGAGCCCGGTCTGAATGGCAACTATGAAGAGCACTATGACCTTCGGACAGATTATAGGATCTAGGCCGGAGGTAGTGGCGGCTATACATGTGATAAAAGTTCTCGGTGTGAGTGTTTTTTTTCTTTTCTAGTCCCATTTGACAGTATCACACCAACAAAAAAGTTTGTAAGGACCGCCTAAAATGTTAACATTAGGCATGCGTTTACATGGTAAGCAAATATGGGGTTAATGGCAAAAGTTGTACGAATGGACACAATGACACATCCTGGGAATCACCAACTTGACGCACTAAACAGGTATAAACAGAGGTGAAGTTTTGCCTCCTGCAAGCCCTTATTCTGCTGCTGTTGCTAACAAAACGGCAGCTAGCGCAGAAACACAAACAGATGGGAGAGGTATGGTCCTTCTAAAAACTGCCGTTACTCTCTACCCTTCTGATCATCTGCCGAGCACAGTCAACGAATGGATGAACGAATTTTATTTCAACGTATTCCGACAGCGGGCGACTAATGTCCGCCGGCACAGGCAAGCGGCGACTGGCAACTACAGACAGCCAGAGGCGGGCTGAGAAGAGCAACCCTCTACTTACGGTGAGCGAAACTCACGAATATTGTCATATTTTTGACAATGTCACCATTGTTAGACAATTATTAACAATTGTTCGGTTAGCAATTTCGCTAAATGTTGCGATTCGTGTTTACTCTGACACAAAAACAATAATTTGATTCAATTGATTCGAGAATATGTTTAGTTATTATTATTACAAGCTATTACAATTGAAAGGTGTCTGAACTGAATAACAACGTTGCCATTGTTTATACTCAAACCGAGATGCGAAATTACTGATCCATTCTTGATTTAAAGGAAGTTACAGCCGGTTGTTTTCTAACTGTATCCGTTGCTGCCCTGTTTTGTTTAACAATTTATTCTGTCAAAAAAGACATTTAAAATGCTATAACATATATATGAAAAGTAACATAAACGAGAACAAAGAGTCCCATCTGAACACGCAGACGACACCGTGTAAAAAGGGTACCCGAGTGGTAGCCTCTCTAATAATTCAATAAACCTAGGTCAACCACGCAATGCAATGTTAGGTCACTAAATGTCCTATTCTGGTAAGGCCAGCCACCAACGTGCATAAATGCCCATAGGTTAATTTACTGAGGTGCTGATATCATCCTGCCTTTTATAACGCAAAATGCAATTATGTCATTGATAATATTCCTCCTGTTTTCTATAAAGTAGTTTCCGTGTTTTTTGCTAAAAAATTGCTATGGTCGTTTTTACACTAGTACTGTAAAAGTGCAATTTTAACAAAGTTTCATAATGTCGGTTCACAAGAAAGAACAGAAGGTTCTTGTGTTATATCCGGTTTCTCTAATTTGTAAACTTTACGAAAAGACGACGAGTTGCGTTGCTATATGAACGCCTTTCTAAGAGAAAATAATCTATTAAATCGATGAATAATACTCCTCTAGCATAGATACCCGCTTCTCTTCAAACGGCATTTTCGACCCGAAAACCAAGATTTAGGTAATCGAAACCTAAATTATGTCAATTGAACTCATCGAGGATTGCCAAATAGTATCGTGGAAGACCTTCTTTACAAAGAGTTGCACGCGAACATTTTCATCCCAGAGTTACGTAGGCAAAATAATTATCACACTGAGTTTTGGTCCTCTCATGCCGAAATATTCATTCTAGCTATACTGTGTTGCACTCGTACTACGCTCGTCGAGATCTAGCAGTTGGAGTCAAGAAAAACCGCCAAAAAAGCGGTATTTTTCTTTTAAAAACATCTTCGGCAGTTTTATGCCTTTCCCTAAAAATATTTTAGTCGTTCGAATAAAATGTGTCAATAGAATATTTGCCACATCAGCATTTTCCCTTGAAATGTACTAGAACGTCGCTAGAAAAATGTCTTTCCAAAATCCTCGGAACAAATTTTGACCTCATTGCGACTTGAGAAAGAAATATCACACACGATGTTTCGCCATTTTCATGTCGAGGTATCCATTTTGAGTACAGTGGTACGAATTGAATTTTTACTCAGATTGTCGCGTCTATTGGTTAATAGAAGGAATAAAATACGATGTTAAGTTTTTACCATCAAACGGCATTTTCAACAAGTAGATTTCGATTTGGGCGTATGAACATATAATATAAAATGTTGTTTCATCAAATAAAACAATTCTTCTAACGGGCAACGACAAGTTTCGGTTAATAATTTGAAAGCTTCTGGATAAACAAATCAAAATGACGAGGTTCGATTGGAGTAACTTCATTTTTTTTTTAGTTAAAAAATGTTTATTCACGCATCAATACCGATTCTGTCTCTTTCGAAGCACTCCCCACCCGACAACACACACTGGCGGTGTTTTTCCGCTCCAAAAAAAAGCTGTGGAACGCTATGTTTCAAATGAAATTTACTGCCCTCAAAAATTCCAACTTATTTTTCTAGAACATTTTATCAAAGCATCGTGTTTTTATAGCTCTCTTTGGTCGGTAAATAAAATGAAATCGCAGGGGATTATGTCTCCCAAGCAAAGCGGCTGAAAAAGATCATTATTGTGTCAGTTTTCGCCAACGAAGCGCGTGCAGGTGCATTAACGCAAGACAATCGTCAAAAACCGTTTCCCCACAAATACGGTGTTTCCTTTTTCATTACCTCATGCAGACGGAGTACAACTTGCAGGTAGTGGTTATTATTGATGGTCCTACTTGGTGGCAAGGATTCATTAAAAACTACGTTGTTGAAATCGAAAAAAAAATGCAGTAACCAGAACCTTTTCGGTCGATCGAACCTGACGAGCTTTTTTCGGCCCTGGCTCTTCAGAACGCTTTTATTATGACAAGCAGACCTTAGTTTCATCATCAGTTATGACGCGTTTAAACAGTTCTGGATTATTGTTAACTTCGTTATCTTTCTCTTCTCCAGGGCTACTTTGAAAACGCTTACGCCATTTACAAACGCTCATTTTGTTAATAGAGGATTCACCAAACACAATATTGAACATTTACAATATGGTGGTACACTTTAGTCTATTCTTAAAAGGAAATTTAACGCTAACTGTTTGTCCCATTCTTGTCACGAATTAAAAATAGCAATAACTTTTCGAGTGTCAACAATAAAATAACGATCGAAAATGACTGGCAAAGTAAAGATAAAATTGGAATAAATGTAGCAAGATTTATACATTTTTCTAAGGTAAGCGCCTTAGTGAAATAAACTATATCATATAAATTACTGCTAAAATAAGGAGAGAGATAGCAACGTTATTACAAGAAGGCTTGTTAACATCCATGGGCTACGGAGCGTCGCGTATACAAGCCCTATTACATTGGTAGCGAAATCTATAGGCCTGTAGAGAAGCCAGGTTTGATTTCCAAAAAACTTAAACAACGGTCATTTAGTTTTTGACTCGGCCTATATATAATCTATTTCGTTATGCTTCCCTTCACTTTCATTTCATAAAACTGCAAACAAAATATATCTATTCAATGGTATTTTGGTGAGAAGGTTACGTGTTACCGGGGCGAACTGCACACAGCTACAACCTATAAAACTTCTGTAAACCACTTTAGAGATAACTTAATTTCCCATCATACTTTCGTGTATATACTACATAAATATTACGTCCGGTATTGACGATTAGAATTTCTTCAGATGGCTGGCTCCTTGCATAAGGCGAAACGTCTTTACGCCTGCGTTTGAGCGTAGGCTTTCCTTAAGTACGGTAGGCAAATAGGTTAGCACTGCAGCAACAGTGCATACCATGCCAACGATACTCAAGCGTCCCAGTTATTCCTGATCTAATAATGGCTTCATTTATACGTTTATATCATGTACAAAGATAATTTGTGCTGAAGTGTCCTTTCGATAGAGCTCACAAGTTCCCTACAGTAAAATTCGTACACTTCATACATATATTGTATCGACAAGGACATGCCCCATTCACAATTTCTGCTCTATACAAAATCTTTTGCGCTACCTCATGCCTCTAACCCTACGTCTCTCCACCTTTAGGGCAAATACCTATACTGTAAAAAAAACAAACATACTTTATTTCTGTGTTTGTGCCTTACTCCGTTCTAAACCCGCTTATCTACGCTCACAAAGAAACATCGTCTTTGTACAAGCATAATCGCATGCTTTTACGCATGTTCTGAACTTATTCCCATTCGCATCTCTAATGAATACTTAATGCGACTGGCTCATGGGTACATTTGAAAAACATGACAACTATAATTCCCTGCCTGTTAGAGTGGCATAACACTTCGGTTCGAGCTCGCCTTAATCAAAGTTTCAACCCGAAATGTAACTCGGTTATACAAAGAACATGCTGATTTCCAGCGGACGATTCGACAGTTTTTCTGTACTGAATGGTGTACAATCTGGTTAAAGACTGTTTTTGAGTCAGCACACAATCTGATACAACACTATCGAATTCCGGCTATGCATAACTATCTTTGTAAGGAAATCTAATGAATAACAAACACTTGTCACTGTATTAAATGGTTTCAATCGAAATTTAGATTTATTTTCATCTTATCCGCTCAATTCTATTGATGTGTTCAGAGCTTATTGCTACGCCAGACAAAGTGGCAACGCTCGCCTGGCACAGCAGTAAGTTCATTGGTTGTTGTGGCGCACCATAGACGAGTGACAAGTGCCGTCACAGAACCAACTTCTACTCAGCTAGTCCATGTAATGGAATAAGCGTAATCGATTCTTGATGCTATTGTTAAGTGCATAGAAAAGTGTAAGAGCTCTATCAGATTTGCCAGATCGTCGTCTAACTAACCTGCATTTAGCTACGCGTCCGGAGCAACTTTAATTCTAATTGGTAGCGTGCCCACAAGTTTATAACAGTCCGATCGAATGTGAACATTTTATTGTATCGCTATAATCCATTTGCTGCCGAGCTGGGCATGCACGAGACGCCATAATCGCAATGGACATAATTCATTCCTTACGTGAAATAGCTGAGAATCTGATTCACGCAGATTGCTTTAAGCATTTGCCGCACTATCGTGAAGCTGACACCTGCTAGAACATCAGTCCTATTTGGAACGCAAGAACTCTACAACTCAAGACGGTACCTGTCAGAATGTCAATTGGCTCTAACCTAATTGTGTACAGATACGAAAGGTCATAATTTGGCTACTCTAAGATTCGGGCGGCTAATGTGTAGAAACGATGTCTCAAGAAATATCGAACTCTGCTGCCTTCACGAACGATTGCGCAACAATGCCCGTATCTACGTTGGGTTCGGTAAAACCAGTAAGGAGTCGGGAGCCACATGCAGCGCCAATCGCCACATCGGACAGAAAGAAACAACCTGATAATCTTTCAGAACGACCGCTAGCTGTTAGATCATCAGTCGCAGAAGATACTAGTACTTCACCTCACGTTTGTGCCTGTCATGCATCATCAACGACAGTAAGTTGCAAATGTCTAAACAACACTCGTGAAACACCACATGTTGTTCTCACCATACCGTTAAATGCGCAAAAAACATCATCTGTGTTTCTCAAATCCCAACGGTACCGTTTACCGTTACGGGTCTGCGACGATGAACATTCTACTGGCTACGAGCGCTGTCACACAACC